AATTGCCATCTGCATCAGAGAGTTGACATTGATTCCCACTTGCGGATGGACGTCACCCCTATTCCAAGTACTTGTCAGATAAGCATGTTCCTAATGTGGACCATGGCCGTTGTGATACGGGCACGATAGCGAGGACTCGTCCAAGCGCGACGTGAACTCACCAAGCAACGTAGACCATAATGCCTTGGAGTAATTCGATTGTCTTTTCCTTCATAACAACGACATGATTGGCAGCATGTCGTCGAACCCAATCATCGACAGCCTTCTGGACAGCCGCCGTCTGGGGCACGACGGCTTGCATAATACACCAAAACAGGAACCGCTTCTTGTTATGAAGCTCTATGGCTGTGACGTTAGGGGGGATAGGTACGAAAGGGAAGTTGGGAACCATGCGCGTTCGGTAGATGTCTAGGTATTCTTCTGCCTTCGCCACGGAAAGACTGAGTCCAGGTAACAGATAGAAGGTTCTTGAAAGGTCTGCATCTGGTGGTGGAAGCGTGTTGCATTCTTGAGTCTCAGAACTCACGCCGCTTGAAGAGTTGGGAACTGATAATTCACCGAGGCCAGGTATGGTCAAACCGGTGCATGGCATCAGATCCTGACCCTCGCTACCTGGACTTGTTGCAGTCGAATTCGAGCCCTGGGCCCCCTGGACCTGTTGCTGGGATTGAAAGAGGTTGACTAGGCCGTCAATTTTCTTTTCCAGTTCTGTGACCCGACTACGTCTTGATCAGTTGCAAGTCCGGATGTGGTGAAGCGCCAGGCCAGACGCGAAAGACCCTGGGTTTAGTTCGGGGATTCATGTAGATGCCACCCGTTCTTTGACTTACCTAGACTTTCCCCGTTTCTTCCTTGGGACGGGCTCCGGTACGCGACATCGTATATTCAAGCGGGAGCATCTTGGCACACCGTAAGTCTGTTGCAAGTTTTGCTGGTAAGGAAAACACTATGTTGAGAAGAAAATACCTCAAGCAATCGGTTGGTCCGCTGTGACCCGATTCCGGTGGCCATCTACACCTGATTTTTTGCCGTGCGCAATTGGTGCAAGCTCGGGATTTCCTCATGTTCGCAAAGTCGGGGCTCTCGCCGTCGGACATATTGAACCGCAACAACGGAAACAAGGGGATATACGGTCTGTGCTTAACAGGTCACCGAATCTGGGAACATTCGAAAGCTCGTTCAGTAAGGAATTCTCTTCGTGAAAGCTTGTTCGGAGGCTGATGCTGCAAAGAGTCAAACGTGACGAGCGGAACATGTGGAATCATCCGGGGACCGGCGATTTCCTCGAGCTCCGTTAGTTCAAGACTGGTGGTAGATGGTGCAGTATGATTGGCTCTACACGTTCTGGAAAGTGGAAAGCACGGAGTCGGAAGTTTCCAGACTCCCGACACCCGATCCTTAGCGCCAGAATGCCGAGAAGCTCGGATAAAGAAGCATGGATCAACGTGTATGGTGAATGAGACCTCCCACAACACCGATGTCAAAAGTGCGTCCATGTATTTTTTTGCCGATGCACTGACTATTGTGGATGATGCTGATGAATTGCAAAGGTTCCTACAACCCTTGCAGACGAGGCAAGTAACAGTCTTGATCTTAACCACTCTTCACGAACTTTACCCCGTACAGGCCGTGCTGAAATCAACGGAGAAGATGCTAATAGTTCGTGTTGGTAGAAAAGTCCAGCGGGAGCCTCCACTAGTGTTTAGACTTCAATAGAGAACTGGTATTGATTGTACTCAAGAATCTTCTCATTGCAGTTTTGCCGAACTTGTGGCTGTGCTATATTAATTTCTCATTGTGCATTCCGCTTGTATGATGTTTTTCTTTTACACGGTAGCCGCTAGACTGAACCAGCAAGCTTGAACTGACTGTTTCAACCTGATAACCACCCCAACACATACCGACGACAGCACCAGGTAACCCTGATGATCACAAAATCACGGCAAACGGTCAAGATATCAAACCAACCTCTTTGAGGGCTAACATAAAAGCCTTGACCCTGCACTTACCACACCCAGTCGTTTCTTGCAGTTGGTGATTTTGGAGTCGTACGTTGCTCAGTTCCTAGTTTCCTGTTTCGAGGCGGAGATGTGCATCAAACAAAGTTGCTGACATCAAGGCCTGCGCGGTCAGAACTGGTCGATTTGAAGGCAGTAGTGCCAACAAAAGCCATTGCCGTTCGAATCCCTACCCGATGTGGCGTGGCACGGCTCAGCAGATTTCTATACGACATCTTCCTTCAAGCTGTAATCCGGCGAATTGTATACCGAATATAATATGGATATGCATTTCCTATTGCCCTGCTGATATCCGAAGTGCGTCCATTGATGTGTGCTGCATCCAAGCTTCGTAGTTCTTATCATTGGCCGAGCCATTCCGGGACTGAATCAGTCCGACTGACTGCAGCTGGTACAATGTCCAAGGCTTTAATTTTAGTTCTACTAAAAACGTTACCAAGCGCCATCTGCACTTCAAGGTCGCAAACTGACACGCTATGTAGATCTTGGCTGAAAGCATACCTGTTCATTAACGTCCGCAGGATACCGCCGCAGTTGGCGCGACCGGCGGGATTTCTCAATGCATTACACTCGTAATTGATGGCTTGTTTGTTGGTAAAGCTACTTGGAGTAAAAAGAATACGAGCAAACAGCTTCTTTTATCACTTGTGTCTGATCGAAGAGTGACAACTGTCATAACAGTGTTTTTTGAAAAATTTCCTCTATGAGATGTCACCTTCCTCATCGTCCTCTTCTTACTGAAGCTCCCACTGCAGGCCAAAAATAAGCACAAGGCCTGAGAGATTTTCTGCAGAACTTCAAATCTATTGGGTCGTACGTTTCTATTGACACCACGGTGGGGTGGTATTACCAAATATCTATGAAGCAACTGGCGCATCATCCTGTGTTGGTGTATCTTTGCGATGTATTTCGTTTTGTGGGAACTGGTCCAATTCTGAATAATTAAGGGATAGGGCCACAGTCCCGTTCTGAACCCTGTTCCAAAGATCAATGGTTTGCTCATGTTGGCTGATACTTTTATTAGTTTCATTGCCCTCGTCGCGCTTTACTATATACCTTTTTGGCTGCAAGCTGTCAACTTACTTATCAGAGCGGCATCGACCTGCTCGCGTCTCCGGTATCGTTGTCGATAGCGAAAATGTTTTCGGGGGTTTTGGCAAGTTGTTATACGTACAAACTCTAAAGATGAACATATATTCAGCTGAATTGGTATCAAACAAGTCATCTCGGGTACTACGCTCTACAACTCATCACATCATCAGTCAATGTCTCTGTCAACCCAGGCTGAAAATATTAATTATTCAACGAAAACACAAGCACAAGATTCTGGTAAACCTGGGATTCCCCCTCTTTAACACATCTAAAGCGTTAATATCTGCTTCAGAATTGCTTCACTCACCCTAAAGGGAGTGGGTGTTAGTGTGAATGGACAACATACTCCGATAGCTGCCCAGGCCGTTTCCGAGGAGCGTGACATAGCTCCGGCTGCCTCCCCCTGATCCTCGTACAAATTCGGGGCTGCACCATCTTCCTAGCTGTCGCTTGTAATATGTTTCATTCGCGGAATACCTCCGAGCTGCCCCGTGATGTTCCCAACGTAAATCCAACGGTTGTCATTGACGCAGAGCCGTCCGGAATTGTGGAGTTGACGCGGAGGATCTATCCGTATTCGGCCGAAGGCATCCTCGGAGCCTTAATCAGGCCTTCTAGAGCATTTATCTGTTGCCACCGTCATCGGTTGTTTGGCGATATTCAGTTGCCTGTTCTTCGAGTGGAAAGGCGCTAGAAAGAGCAAGCCGAAGAGAGAGACGGACAACAGGAGCCTCGCAACGATATCGTAAATCCACCCTTATACGACGGCGGCGAAAACCCTCTTCTTCATGATGTATTACAATGCGAGCGAGTGTTTTAATACGAAAGGGTTCAGAGGGCCCGTGTTCTCCAATAACGCAATAATTATTACTGCTGCTTCTGGCACAGCCACTACATGCGCACGCTCCTTCTGACATTAATAGTCCGAAAATGCTGCGGTCATCAATACCCAAAACGTCTCGCGCACGCTTCGGATTAACGTCATTCGTCATTCGGAAGCGGCCATTCCACTGACATGCGCATCCAACGACGGCTAAGCCGATCTCCCGCCAACCCCAGCTCTCAACGCTCGGAGATCCCCCACCTTCACAATACCGGTACAGGATAAGCCAGTCCGCGGCCCAGGCATCTTTTGGCTCTTCGAAACGACTCCGCAACCGTTTCATCCGCGAACTTGGTAAATTTGCATGTCCACTCAGCCGAGTGTCGAGTCGGTACGAGTCGTTAAGGTTGATGTACCGATAGGTGGTTGTCATTTCCTGCAGCTCCTCTCTTGGCAGATTTGTCGTCCCAACACAGGGACCTGACACAACGCCACAGCCTTCTCTCTGGCCAGCTCCATTTTACCAGTCCGAAAGAGCGAGGTCTCCACCCAATCCTCAACTTTGCCATTGTTTAGTGTTTCCTCCTTGCTGTTTCTTTTGTGTCCATTTCTAAGCACACTTCGGTATGCCATGCGGCCGAAGAAACGAAACATGTCACGTTTGAGGCACCTGATAGTTCTTATTGGGCGGCTCGGTCATCTCATCTTTCGAGATGTCCAAGCTTCCCTGCTACCCTTGCATATCGCGGCAACTCGCTGAATCTATGTCTGTTTTTTTGGCCTTTCGGTCTCATGATCGGGAGAAGCTTGCCCAGTGCGGAAGGTTATGGGAGAAAAGGTTTGTTCAAGTGGACGGGTCTGTTGGCGTGATTTCGTTCCGAGTAGCTTGCCAATTTGGGATCCTGCAGGTCCAAGGACTTAGCTTAAATATCACAGGATCCTCCTCGATCCCCTCGAATGTAGCTTTCAGAAGTAGTATTTCTGCAACAGCCATCTAGCGTCTTGTTCTGCCCCAGCCGACCCCGCCCAGCACCCGTACGAAGAACCGAGTACATCGAGTCATCAAAATGAAGTTCAGCACTATTGCTATTTACCTTTCCGCCATGGTCGGAGGCTCCGTTGCCGCCACCATTAATGGTACGTATTCTGTTCTGTAAATGAGGATTTGTGCTATGACCCTTACTCACTCTCGTACAGAACGTCAGGCGGCTCCCGCACCGCCAGGCCCAGCACCCCCGACTCCCAAGGTCATTCCTGTTCTAGTCGGCAGCCCGACCCGCGAAAAGTCACTACTATTCTATCCCGAGATCGTGAGAGCGAGTCCCGGCGACATCGTACAGTTCCAATTCTGGCCCAATAACCACACCGTCACCCAGGCCCCCAGCAATGAGGCGCCATGTATGCCACTCCAAGATCAGAATCCGAATGCCGTTCACTCCGGGTTTATTCCTGGTGTCACTGATGGGTCTCCCGTTGGCACTTTCAACGTGCAGGTTGAGAACACTGAGCCGATGCTCATGTACTGCGCCCAGGGAATGCACTGCCAGTTGGGTATGGTTATGATCATCAACCCGTAAGAGACCTTGAGTTTCCCATACGCTGCGAGTTACACTGACAATTGAGCAGTAAGGCAGATGCGGATGTTCAAGCCTACAAGCAGGCCGCCGGAAAATCGCAGGCGAACGTGCCGGCTAAGAACGTTGCTGGTGGCTCCGCTGGCCGGATTCCTTCAAACTTGGCCGTTCCCCCTGTTGTCTAAGCGGAAGATGGTGCATTGTAGTGGGCAACGCATAAAGTTTGTTATAACAATAAAGTGGTGGTTTATATTTTTACCCAATATAACTCACGCGTAGATCACCCAAAGTTGGCTCTCCTACAGCCTCACGAACAGACACAGATGATTAGGGAGGTGGCAATGCTGTTGCGAATTTTTGGCTTAGACGTTTGAGCTTGTCTGCTCGGAGTTTTGGTTGGCTACAACTTTGGGGTATGTGCGTCGAGCCATACTACTTGCCGATGCGTCTCTCCTCAGGCTGGGACGCACTCAAACTCTGTATTTAAAGCTTTACAAACTTGTTCATCCTACGGCCCCATCCCGCCATCTTTTCCGTGGGTGGCTCAAAGTGATTAATGGGCCGGCAATAGGAAACTTTAATCCGACTGGTCGCCCATGAGCTTTCAAATGCTTCACGTTGATACGTAATTCAAGGCAATCAAAGCAGATTTTGTTTCTGGCAATGAAACAAATTTGAATCACCTCAACTGCCTCGATTCAAATGCAAATCTTCATTACGAAATGTCGATAGCGGCACAGTTGCGACGTTGGAGATATTTATTAGGATATATCATAAGAGTTGCCCACGCTGGTGACGTCGTAACGCCATAGCAGTATATGTATATGGGGATGAGGGTGATTTTGAGGGCATCAGGTTAGTAATCAGCTGTTCTTGAAGTACTCGATTGCTCACTCCCAGGTGATGCTACAAGTCCCAGCCTATCGAGTGCCTTTGGATAACAGTACAGGCGTTAGGGAGAAGCAGCCAGCAAAAGAAACATTTTCTGTATCCATCTTTATAAGCAATTCATGTTCAGCACGATCTTGGATGAAGGTGGAGGAAACACAGTCGGCCTCAGCGCACTGTCTTCCACCCGGACTCAACGAGATAAGTCGTCAGAATTTAAGAAGCGAGAATATTGGCTTCTTCCGAAGTCAATGCATCTCTTGCTATGTATACTTGGCGGCGAGATCCGATCATCTGTTCACAGAAGCATTATTCCGATTCGCCAGCTAAGACACGCGCTTTCAGGCAGTGGATCATGGGCTGTCACTACTTTTGATTTCCTATGTTTATTCTGTGTGATCACTTTTTAGGTTTCATATCCAGTGAACGATGGGATTTTAGCTTCTGTGTTCTTAAGAAAGCTTTGCCTGATACTCGCATGTTTGCATCCCTCATAACTGATACCCTCAAACAGTTGAAGGCCTACTTAATAACGAGAAAGTTTGTTCATCAATTATCAGGACTAGGGCCTAGTTAAGATGGCGGTTGTAGCGCGACTCGAAAGACAAGGAAGAATAGAACGGTACGGTTGTCTACGGGGACTCACGGTGCAAACCGTCGGAAATACTATCATAACCAAGGTTCTGTGAACCTGGGATTGACCGGACACCATCACGGCGACGGGTCCACAAGATATGCCGTCAACCGGCGGCCATACGAACGTTTATGGATGTGGGGCGATCTTCGGCCTGGGACATTCATCATCACCTTTGGTTTCTCCGCGTCTAGTTGCAAGGTAGTCTTAACAAACCGATTAGGATCGCCAATTTACGCACACATATTGATAAGTCCTACGATCAGGGCAGATTTTGCGTTCCAATGAAGTTCAGACCAATCTTCAAGACGTGCCGTATTGCTTGATTTGAGTCAGTATGCCTTGAAGTATCAGTTGCTTTCGTCTGTGCCTCGACTCGCTTGACATAAACGAGATGTCAACGTGCAGGACGGTAATAGGGATCGCTAGCCGCAAGCTCCGCTTACCGATACATGCAGGCCGGACCGAGAAGTTGTGCCCACGCACTACACTCGTCTGGGACATATCGTTGTTTGTGCCTGGGAAATGGTTTCGTGTCAAGATGTCTATTAACGAGTCCTCAAAGCCATATGATTCGCCCTAATAATAAACCCGCTACCCACAGGCAGTCAAAGAAGCCGAGTGTCCTCAAGGGCCTAATCCCCATGCTATAGCGCGTGATTTGCGGAGTTGCCACAGCCTCTGTGCCGTGACAGACGACAAACTTCGGTTCTGAGAGGCATCATTGTATAACCGTCGCTGTCTGCTAGCACTTCACATTGTATCTTCGCTGAAGGAAGGCTTGAATGTCTTACCACATCTGGTGTCCCATCACCGTCTCTCGCCCTAGTATAGATTCTTCCTCTTCAAAATGAACACACAACTTTTATTGGCCATCACAGCTTTTGCAGTACTCGCTCAACTCGCGATCACCTTTCTTCGATGGCTTCGATCTCCCTTACGGTCGGTGCTGGGGCCATTATTGGGGCGCTTTACAAACCCTTGGTACTTACATCGAGTCAAACAGGGCAGCCTTGAGTACGTCAATTCGCAGCTTCATGAGGAACATAGTAGAATTAAGATGACCCGTAAACTAAAAGTTTCAATGGTACTGAGTTTTTCTAAGGCCTAGTCATCCGGTACGGTCCGAATTGATAATTACAGCATTAACGACACGGAATCATCAAAAATTATCTATGGCCATGGAACGCAGTTTCCAAAGTCAGACTGGTATGCCGCATGGCAACCCGGTGAGAAGATGTGGAATATCTTTGCGGATCGGGATATTAAAAACCACGCCTATAATAGGCGGTTCTATTCCAAGGCCTATTCAATGACTTCTCTCATTCATTACGAGCCTTTTGTGGACGAGTGCGGGGCGCTCTTCTCCTAACGACTTCGAGAGTTCTCGAAGACTACAACTGCAGCTGACCTTAGTCATTAGTTCCAGTACTTTACGTGCGATGCCATCGCAATGATGACATACGGAAAGCGTCTCGAATTTTGTATCGAGGAGAAGATGTCGATAATTTCATTGAGGCCTTCGACACGAGCCCCATATACTCCAGCTTGGGCGGCATTTTCCCTCTCTTGAACAAGTATGTGCTGCTAGTCTCAAGCAAGCTTGGCAATCGTCATGGAGGGAATGTTGCAATATACGTCATGGCCTTCACTCAAAAGCTTATTGATCACGAATGAACTTCTCTGAAGTCAGTCATGGAGATAAAGGGCTAAGCAGACGTTGCGGTTGCTGGGGAAAGCTTCCTCTTGCCCAAGCACTCTGGCAACCCCAAAAAGTTCACAAACTACCACATTATTACAGGCTGCGCTAACAACATCTTTGCTGGGTCTGACCCTACTGGTGTCAGTTTATCGTCTGTTCTTTATAACTTGCTCAAACCTAGGATAGTATCGCGAAGCTATGAAAGGAGATTGAGGACTTCACAAACAGTGTTAAGCTTTCGGAAACACCTACATTTAAGGAAAGACAACAAATGCCTAACCTCCAAGCCGTCATCAAAGAGGCTCTGCGTGTTCATCCGGCCGTAGGATTGCTAACGGAACGGGTTGTGCCTGAAGGCGGAGCTAGTATTGCTGGAAGATTCTTTCCTGGGGGGGTGAGATTCAGGTTTGCCTGCTTAACTCTACTTCTGATAGCTAAAGCTATTTGCTCTCTTTGCAGTCTGTCGTTGGCATCAATGCCTGGGTCCAGCACAGGAACCAAACATTGTTCGAAGATGATGCTGACTACTTTCGCCCCGATCGATGGTTAATCAATGACGACAACAAGATTTCCGTCATGAACCGAAATTGGATACCCGTACGTCAAGCCAGTCTTTCGCTGTACCTATGTTTTTAGTCTACTTACTTACTCGACGTCCTCCAAGTTTGACGTGGGGTCACGAACCTGTTTAGGTAAAAATACATCCATTCTGGAAATATCGAAGCTCATCCCTAGAATTTTTCGCGACTTTGACTTCAGGCTTTGCGGCCCTGCTGGAGCACCAGGCGGATCGTGAAAAGCTCGTACCTTTTGGTTTTTGAAGCCCCAGAATCTTCATGTCACAGTTGAACCCAGAAAAAAGGGCTAGGAAAGGGCTCCGAATGACTTGGATCTGATCTTTCGCGATTTTCGCTACATCTTGTTACGAGCACTGCTGCAATGTTGGCCGCTGATCAAATTCTTCTCTTCTCTTCAAAAGGTCAGTAAAACTGTTTACAGCGAGTATGTAGTATTTATGGGTATGCTTTGTGAACCAGACCCTTCTGGGAACGCATATAGTCGCACCGAATAGCTGTAGCTGAAGCCTTACTATGCAGAAATGTCTTATATTCTTTCAAGTGAAACCCTCATTACCGTGTGTGTAATGTTTTTGCGTGGAGTTCAGTTATCTAGTTTCTTCAAAGACAGATATATGTAAGCCTACAAGCAATAATTCTCCCTTTTCTTTGCTCCCGCCTGAAAACGACGTGGGAAGTCCCTATAGATCGGGCATCATTTTTCAGCTTGGCAGCTGCTTAGTTAAAATAAAGGTTTACCCAAACTGTAGCGTTCGTGAATTCAATGTCGTTGATAAAATCTCAGTAAAGAGCCATAAATATCGCATTTCAAACACACTTGAGCCAGGCTCCTATTATCAGTTTGGACAGCCAGCTTCCAAGTATTGGAGCTGACTTTCGGGGGTTATTGTAGCTTTCTCTGCCTGGTCTCTCGTAATATAGAAGTTTAAAACAATAGATAATATTAATGAAATCAACGAGTGATCAATTGCTCTTCTTAAAGTCATCAACTGCTGCGGCTCTGAGACAAGACTGTCAATTGTATGCAGACCGCTGAGTAGCAAGATCTTTCAATCAGACAAGTGATGGGCAGGCGTTGACTAAAGACTAGGTACGCACATCTTGCCCCCTCCTCCCGGGGTCTCCGGACGTGGTTCCATTTTTAGGTTCGGCGAATGACGGGTTCGTCGGCGCAACCACGTCGAGAGATCCGAGCTGGCAACACCGGTGGATATCGCATTGTCTAGACCGCCCCAAGGATTTTGAATCCTGATAAAAACTAGCGTAGTTTCAATGAATAAGGAGGTGTGTGATTGGACACGCCCAGCGCTAGTAAAATTTCACACCTTCAGAATGTACATTCAAACGGCCAACTATACCAGTCTGAACTCTGCGGCTTGGAAGGCTAACTTCCGCCAACCTTGAAGCCCACTACGGGGCTAATCTGTTGTCTTAGACGCCGAATTCCCGTCGTCCGCCCCAAATCGGGAACAGGGGTTCGGTCAGGTTGGGATCGAGGATTTCTTTCGCCTCAACGATGATGATGATGATGATGATGACATTTGGAGTGATACAGGCTGCATGCCTTATAGTCGCGTGGCGAAGTGCATTGATTCACTTTTCCAGCGTGCCAGGCCACGAGGTCAAGTGGCACTAGCACGCCAACTCGTTTCTTTTTGTGTAAGCCACGACTCTGGATCGACTCAGTGTCTTCAAACTCTGCACATGATTGGCTATCGCAATATCGGAAAGTTGCTTGCTTTCCGTACACGCGTGGCCATTAAACTGAGACATTTTACCAAGCCGTGGCAGGCTTGATGAATCAGAGACATTGGGGCCAGTCAGATGAGGAGAGACAATTTGGAGGTTTGTCTGATTCGTCGATCTCGCTGATTATTAACGCTTTGGCGCCCAATGGGGTAGCCGGATCGCAGCCTCCCTTCTCTCCCTGCGTTCCGCTCAACAAGTGTCAACATTCTCGCGTCTCCCTCCTCTCGGGTTTTCCTTTTTTGAGATGACAGGCGTACGGAAAAGCCGGTGAGGGCTTCGGCCTTGGTGTTTATAAAAGAACCACTTGAATCTGTTAATGACAGATACAGTTGATAGACTTCGCGCACTGACTCCATTACCGAGTCTCGTGTGGGAACGAACTTCCTTCTGACAACAAGTTTTCGTCCATGTTTACGGGCTCCTATATCCTCCTTGTCAGGTAACACGCATGATCATATTGTTCTCTCCCGCATAGCCGGGATATCTGAATCAATCAAAGTGCTAACAAAGTCAGACGAGCCAGGATTCGCTTCCCGGGACGAAGTCCAGCAAATTAAATTGCATAATCTGAACTTGTTTGCTTCTGGTGTACACCGCTGTGTAACATTGCCTTTGTCCGCTTTGGCATTCTCAGCTGGTTCCAGGCTGTTCTACACTGAGACGCTTGAGGCGTGTTCCGGGGCTCGGACGTTCGAAGCCCTTCCGCAGTCCCATCTACCAACGCGTGCAGAGGTGCCCGATCCAACCTGCCACTGGAAAAGTTACTTGGGGAACATTTTTTGCGCAGCATCCCGTTGCGATTTGCGTTTCAAGTGAGGAGCTTAGCTTGAGGCATTGCCACCTGGTGGAAAGGCCTTTGTGTTCCCGTCGTCTGCGTCTCTCTACCCTCCACGAAAACTTGAGACATCTTACTCCTTCGTGCGACATCGCTTTTTGGCAGGTTCTTCAAGGTCTTATTAGGGAGGCAAGCCTCCTGTTGTATTCCTCGGAATTTCTTGAGCTTTAGGCTTCATTCATCATTATGGTCCTTGTAAACGCTCAAGACCCCACGCCCGGGGCTGCGTCCTCGGGTCGTACCGTACTGCCGGATTATGTTACCACTCCAAATGCAGTTTTTGGCGACGAAGGAGTCCAATGGAGATATGGAAGGGCGCCAGACTACACAAAGACGCGCAAGGTTTGGAGGGAGGGTAAGTCATTTCGGGGGCTAGACTATGATCTGCGTTGTTCTGGTGTACTGACGACTGATTAGGCAAAAAAATGAGCCATAAGGCTGGTAGTCTTGAAGAGATCGTGGAAAACCTCGTAAAAAATTGGGAAGTAGAGGCTTCATTCAAGACAAAGCTCGATGACTGGCGGACTGTCGACCATGCCAAGTACACATTCTCCGTCAACGGCGGGCCGCCACAGACGGGTGAGCACATGCTCAAGGTGGGCACTTATAATGCTGTCATTACACCCAACGAGTACTACAGCCCTGATTACTCCGACTTCGCGTCAAGCCACAAGACTTTCAAAAGAATGATGCCCACCTTCGCTTGGGAGGTACTTGAAGTCTACAGCGGCCCACCCTGTGTGGCTTTTAGGTGGCGTCATTGGGGAGTTATGAAGAACGACTACGTCGGATTCAATGAGTAAGTCTTAACTACGATAAAAAAAAGTCCGCCCTTGTAATGTTTGTCAATACTGGAAACTGATATTGGCGTTCCTCTCTGCAGCAAAGGAGACAAGGTCACGGCTAAGGCTCATGGCGGGCCCATTGATATTGAGGGTGTGACAATCGCAAGGGTAGATGATCAACTTCGTTTGCAGGCTGTAGACACGTGGTTCGATTCACTGCAGATGTTCCGCCAGATTGCCCCGGATGGAGTAGTCAGTAAGGAGGCCAAAGTTGACAACCGCGGGCCGGAAGCCAGATTCGACGAGGCAGTGGCGTACGACGTCAAGCTATCACCCGAGGAAATAAGTAAACTGCATAGCAACGTCGCAAATGGTCAAAGGTCGGGAGGATGCCCCGTAATGATGAACAAGGAGTAGACTTGCAGCTTCCTTGAGAGAGAAACACAGCTGGCTATGTAACATTCACTTGTCTATCTGATCAACGTTATAATGGAATAATTACCAGCAATAATCAAGACAAAGCAGGTATTGGGCATAGATTGCATTAAAACGCAACTGATTTGCGTTTGTAAGATTTCCAGATGGTGGAGGGGAAGACACTCGAACTTTGGCTGGTGCTGTTGTGTTTCTGCGGGTTATCATGGAGTCTTTGCAACTAAAGTACCTTAGTGTTCTGCTACTCAACATGCGAGTCATATTTGAAGAGTTTAGCGGCGTTGACTGATGCTATCGTGGCCGCTGAAATCAGGGAGGCTACAGTCCCAAGCATCAAGAGGCGAATGATTTTCCAATGAAGCTTTGTATTCATTACAGGTATTGACTAACACTCTTCTCACTCTCTATTCTATACTTCCAACCTATCTCGCCACTTGCTGGGCTATTTTCCGTGCGACTGCTATGATAGTGATTTGCCAGGGATGGCACGTGCAGTCTGTTGCAGGTTTTCGTTATCGGATCTATTGTGCCAAGACGGTCGGCGCCTTAGCTCCCCTAATTACCTGTCTACCGCCGACAAACCATCATCCAGTGTCGGCGTATCTTCCGAATCGTGTGCGATGCGGCTTATCACGGAAGATTCGGACACTCGAGTGATGCCCGATAGACCAAGAAGGCCTCTGAACAGCGATCTGTTGCGGCGGGCAGGCGGCATGTTGAATAACAATCCATCTTGGGAGTTTTTAACTCATTAATTCCCAGTCTTTTCGATGAACATCAGTGGCGCATACTGTGTAGCGCTGAAGTATATTGTGCGTGCCAAGACTTTTGCGATTCAAGACTGGCGATGAGATCGACATCAATAAACCACTCAAAATTTTAAGGTGGTTGTCTAAACTCGATTGCAACATTAAGAGCCTGATCGATGACTGCGTTATAAGTGCAGTAACAGCCATACCATAGTAAAAAAATACCTCAGGTTGAAATTAAGTAGAGTTTCCTGTATTATTAAGGCTTAAATTAGGTAATATATTGCTATTATCCCTATGGAGGTTATTATTTTCACTACTTTCCCCTTTCTCTAGGCTAAATAAGCTTTATTTCCCTTTACTTCTATCTATATTATTATTTCTTATTAAATTACTATAAATAATTACTATAATTACTTATACTTCTATAATAAATAACTAGTAAAGCAAAAAAGGGCTTTTTATTAATATAAAAGGCTTTATTATTATTCAACTAATTACCTTAGCCTCTATTACTAATAAATAAAAGAACCTATTATATTAGTTAAAAAAAAAGCTAATAAAAAAGTAATAACTTAATAAAAAGGTTACTTAAGATATTATTAAAGTTTATAATAAAAATAATAATAAAGAATATAATAAAGTTAATAATAAATCTTTAAGTAATATATTACCTTTTCCTAAAGATTTATCTAGTTAATAAATACTAATATACTCTTATATTATTTAGACTTTAAAGCTTACTTATTACTTTATAAAGAAGCTTTTTAATTTATATTATAATAAAAACTGTTGGAATAACAGCACCAGCTGGTTGTACGACACGCACGACTCAGGGACACACATCATGGCAGAGGGCACAGACTGGATATTCGGCCCTCGGTTATCCATTGAGGGGATCAAAAGTATATTCATGCCGAACTGACTCAGGGACGTACGAGATCATATATCTTGTGTACGAAAGCCAAGTCTTGTAGTTAGGAAGATAATCACGGAAAATACATCTTTGGTTCACCCTAACTTTAACCCGAGTACGATCGTACAAACGGGTTCTCTCAGGAAGAGAGAATCCATTCAACACTGATCAGTGGTTGCTTGGCAATCCGTGCGATTGCTTTGTGCAATCACAGATTAGCAAGAGTGAAGAGACAAGACTTAGGCTTTACGGCCGGGCTACCGGGTAGTCTTGCACTTCGTGCGAGGCGAGAAATCCTCAGGGATACCTAAGGGGTCACGCTAGAAAGTCTCTTGTGCTAAGAAGCCTTAATCCTACCTATTGTCGCCTGCTAAGCTGAACCGGGTAGATAGGATAAAGACGACTTTTGCTTTACTATCGTACAAGACAGATTCCCGTTGTCGCCTGCTAAGCTGAACCGGACGAGAATCTTTATTGTACTGTACGTAGAGTACAAAGTGTGCGCCACGGCACCAAACAAACCAATTTTGACGTCGTACGATACGAAACGACTACCGAACACAACATGGCTTCCCAAGAGGATCCAGAAGACAATCGTCAAAGCCAATATGACAACATTGATGGATACCTGCCAACGTACGAAGAAATAAGTGCAAGGAGCGAAGTCCCACTGCACACGTGGAAGAAGACTGTGAATCCTAGACGCTGGGGAAATCCAGTCGATATTACACAGGCACCGTCCGAAGAAGAGATGACTACGTACATTGCGTACATCAACATGGAAATGCTTCATCTTAGGCAATCAAAGGAAAACCTGACAATATCACTGTACGAAGATTTCAACGAATGGTCTACCTTCCAATGGGAAAAGGTCTATCGTGCGTTCAGGGCAGAGTTCATACGACTTATTGAGCTAAAGGGATTCCGATTACCGCCAATAAGAAATGTGAATCAACAGTTGGTTGAATTCATCAAGGAGATTGGGAGGAAGTTTGATGAGCAAGAAGAACAGCTTTCTACTCGTACAGCACTTACACCAAGTCGTACGATTACAACAACTCAAACACCTGTTCGAAACCCTGAATCAACTTTACCCCAAAACACAGCTGAACCAACAACAGAGCCAATCGAACCCCCGTACGATACACAGACAACTCAAACATCAATCGTACGAGAGCAGTCACAATCAGCTTCAGGAAACATACCTCCTGGAACAAGATTCACACAGGAGGTTGAGAGTTTTCCACAAATCCAGGGTCGTACAACACCTTTACATCAAGGAGACAGCATCTATGACCTACCACCAAGACGAATAGTCCAGAATGGATTGTGCGAGCCAACTACAATTTCAATCTTCCAAAAGGGATGGAGAAAGGACAGGAATTATACGGGCAAGCCGTACGATATCCTGTACGACAAGGCAAAGGTCTTTATCAGTTTTTGTCGACGCCTCAGGATCACTGAAGACCAATACCATGCAGTATTTCCTGATATCTTGGCTGATCGTGCGGAAGAGTTTTATCTCCATCACATTGGACCAACAAGGAGATGGGACGAGATGTACAACATGTTAGAAATGCATTTTAACACTAACATCAACCACACTCTCTATTGGACAGATTGGACAAGTCTATCCTTCGCACGAGTCAGACAAGACAATCCAGACAAGAATCTGATGGACGTATTAGAGATACTCTTAGACAAGATACCCCTCGTACAACGGGCACTTGGCCCAGGTTTTCAGGGGGAGATTATGCTTCGTACGCAAGTCACCCAAGCGTGCAGAGGTGTACCAGAGCTAGAAACTGCTCTAAGCAATCTTAAAGCACATCACACGTGCGAGCAATTCTTTTCTAGTCTAAGAGCATCACTACAAGTCGCTTTAGACAGGAAGTCTATGTCGCACGACATCAACTTCGTGGATAGAAGGTACTCTAACAACAAGAGTTACCCACGACCATCGTACAATAGACCGTCAGACAACAGAGGATCTTCTCGACAACCTTGGAAAGGTCAACCTTCATCACGACCTAGGTTTAATCGTGCAATATCTAAGAAAAGATGTTTTGTGTGCAAGAAGGAGGGTTGTTGGTCTACGAATCATTCGGACGAAGAACGTAATCGCGCGAAAGACCAATACCTTCAGGCATGCGGTATACTTGAACAAGAACCACAGAGAGATTTTGCCTCGTACCTTCTTGACTTTGAAGGAGAAAACCCAGTGGACGAATCGTGCGATGAGGAGGGAGAATTTACAGGAGATGAAGAGACATCAGCTTTCCTAATGTCTTCTTCATTCTTCCATCGCACGACAGGGGAGGATATCTTTTCATTACCAAAGACGTCAGAGGCCTGTCAATTCTTGTTGCACGATCCTTATATCTCATCGTACCAAGGGGAACTATGGGATACAGGAGCAGCGAAGTTCTCTACTGTAGGGAAACCTCAAGTCCTTGCATACCTACGGGAGAACCCTCGTACGGCAATATCCTGGGGACCAGGATCAGCAAACGTACGATTCGGGGCAAGTGACTCAATCACATCGGTTGGCACTATGGAAATGGAGAATCAGCTTGGAAAGGTTACGTATCACATCCTTGATGCTCCTACTCCGTTCCTGTTTTCATTGTACGATGCAGACAGGTTAGGTGCATATTTCAATAACGTCGACAACGTGATTGTACGGCAGGATGGAAAACCTATCCCAGTCGTACGGAAATGGGGTCACCCATTCTTCAACCTTAGTCGCACAGAGGCCAGCATGTTCTTCACAGAAGGACAACTCCGAAGGCTTCACAGACGATTTGGACATCCTCGTACGGACCGTCTTTACCACCTCCTGAAGAAGGCTGGGCATCACAACATTGACATCAACATTCTAGAAAAGGTCCAGAAGTTTTGTCATCATTGTCAATCGCACGACTCAGCACCAAAGAGGTTTAAGTTCACACTTAAAGACGAAAGCTACTTCAACTATGAGATAGTTGTGGATGTCGTACGACTAAGAGACAAGAACGCCTTACACGTTATCGACACAGAGACAAGCTTCCAAGGAGCCACCTTCCTGAAGTCCTTATCTGCACGAGATACGTGGAATGCACTTTGCAAGTGCTGGATCAGCACGTACGTTGGTCCACCAGACCATATCGTACATGACCCAGGTACAAACTTCGCATCAGCAGAATTCAGGAACTATGCCGACATCATGGGCATATCGTGCGAAGAAATGCCAGTAGAAGCCCACTGGGCAGTAGGCAAGATAGAAAGAGCTCACGCTCCTCTGAGGCGTGCGTACGATATCTTGTATGCTGAGCTTGGGCACAACACGGACGAGGAAACCATCCTCCAGATGGCTGTGAAGGCATTGAACGACACAGCTGGTCCGCACGGCATCGTACCTACACTACTTGTCTTTGGGACATATCCAAGGATTAACAAGGACTCACCTCCATCGCCCGAAATCACCCAAAGGGCAGAAGCAATCCAGAAGGCAATGAAAATGCTTCAGAGCATTCGTGCAGAAGTAGAGATCAATCGTGCGATCAACACCAGAAATGGCCCTAACCTCCAGAGCATACTATCACTACCGATCCAGAGTGAGGTTCTAGTATGGAGAGAAAACAAGGGATGGACTGGACCGTACGAAGTCCAGGCTATAGAAGGCCATACAGTGACAGTCAAGATGGTCAATGGTCCTACACAGTTTCGTGCGACACATGTCAAACCATACCATCAAGACACAGCACAGTCAGATTCAGATATCGCACGACCTATTCCTCAGAAACAGCCAAACAAGAGAGGAAGACCAAAGAAAGGCCAGAGAAGGGCTGTACGACAATCACCACGTACCAATCAAGCATTTCTATCTCAGAAAGAAAAAGACCACAAGGAGTTAGCAGAAAAGTTACGGCTTGACAATGTGATTACAACACCAGGTGCTCCGTACGAAGAGTCAGACCAAACAGAGATAGACAACCTTATTAACCAGGGAGTCTTCACCTTTGTACCGTACAATCCAAAAGAGCATGACCACCTCCGTATCTACAAGACACGGATGGTACGAGAGATCAAGAACTTGTCATCTAAGCCGTACGAGAAGTCAAGACTCGTCGTACAAGGGTATGGGGACTGGGAGAAAGAAGAACTCTTAACCCAGGCACCTACTATCCAACGGATGAGCCAAAGGCTCATACTTGCGATTGGACCTACCCTTGTGCGAGACTACAAATGCAAAGGGGAACTCAGAGACATAACTCAGGCATATACACAGTCGGACGATCGTCTAACCAGGACAATTATCGCACGACTACCCAAGGAGTTAGAAGACAAATACCCTAAGAACACACTTCTCCATATCTTGAAACCACTATACGGCCTAGCAGAGTCAGGCCTATACTGGTACAAAACCTATTCTGAGCATCACAAGAAAGATCTGAAGATGACAGAGTCAACGTACGATCCATGCTTGCTGTATACAACAGAAGGACCGGATACCTTCGGGATTACAGCTATGCAGACAGACGATACACTTAGCTTTGCTACACTTGCCTTCTCCCAGAGAGAAGAAGAAGAGCTGAGAAGGAAAGGACTTCGTGCGAAACCAAAGACCACCTTATCGCCCAACAGTGAAATTGACTTTAATGGGGAAAGATTCAATCGCACAATGACCACATTACCTTTACTCAAAAAGGCCAGGCAAAGCACTGAAACTCGTTGATCCTGATGCGCACGATGCACATCAGCAGTATGTTTCCCAAAGGGCAAGAGGAGCATACCTCGCATCTATCTGTCAACCAGAGGCATCGTACGACCTGTCAACTGCAGCCCAAACTAAGGAGCCTGATAAGAAGGATATTGAAGCTTTGAATGTACGACTTCAGTGGCAAATCGATAACCCTACACGAGGTCTTACATATATCCCTCTTGATCTCCATCGTGCGAAGATGTACATCTTTACGGATGGATCATTTGCAAACAACTCAGATCTATCGTCACAACTTGGATTTGTTATCGTACTAGCTGAGGAAACAGCTCGCACGACAACAGACTTCCAGATCAAAGGAAACATTATACACTGGAGTTCAACAAAGTGCAAGAGAGTCACACGAAGCGTACTTGCAAGCGAGTTGTACGGGATGACCACAGGATTTGATAGTGGGATATCCCTTAGTACGACACTTACCAAGATCCTTCGTACATTACAACTCCCAAGGATTCCAGTTATCATCTGTTCAGACTCACGATCTCTGTACGAGTGCCTCGTACGACTAGGCACAACAGATGAAAAGAGGCTTATGATTGATATTATGAGTCTACGTGAGTCGTACGAAAAGAAAGAGATCTCAGAAGTGAGATGGATTGATGGGAAAGATAACCCTGCCGACGCCTTCACCAAGAAATCGCCAAACTCAGCACTTGGACAATTGATTACAACAAACACATTGAGGATTCGAATCGAGGCGTACGTTGAAAGATTAGGAGAAAACACTTGACAATTAATTCGTACGACCTCACCGCCGTACGTTACCAACTATCTGAAAACGAAGTGTAACCTCAAGAAGGTATCTGATATACCTGACCACTACCAATTCCGATATCAATGTCGGATCGTACCTCCACCATATCCACAACCTTCCCGAATTACCATATCGTGCGATCCATCTGATTGTCGTACGAGATTTCAGGGAAGAGAAGTTGTGCGACTACTCCTTGTCGATAACCATGGGGCTGGCAGAAGTGCCAAGGAAGCGACCGCCCTTGCCGATGTTCTTGCCAAGCTTGCTGCCAGGCGTACGAGGCTCACGAGCATTAGTGACGTTGGGAGCCTTGTAGTTGCTGGGGCCGCCGTTGTCATCATCGTCATCATCATCGCCCGGGTTGTCGGACGAATCAACATCTCGACCGCGGTGGGTGCAGCGAGCGCCGTGCGACTGCTAGACGCACTCGGCGCAGGCGCCACCCTGAAAGGTGGGAATGCGGGTGCACTGGCGGAAGCGCGGGAGTCAGTAGTCGCGCATTTATTGCCACAGGCAATGGCCGCACGACCACGAGACTGAACCAAGACCGCAAGGAAGTAGCCCTGGCGGCGGATGATGCTGGCAACAAACTGCTGGACAGAAGTGTTGCTAGTGACGCGGATCTCGATATCGCGCGACGGCATGTTGATGATGAGACGCTCCTCATCCTGCAGTCAAGGTTAACGTACGAAGACAAGGTAAGGACAAAAGCAACGTACGTTGATGGCCAGAGCCAACAGAAGAGCGCGATTGTTGGCGTTGCCAGTCGGAAGACGAAGCCAACGACCACCGGACGCATCGGTATGCATACCGATGTTGCCGAAGATCGAACCACCGGGGGCAGCGAGAGACATGATGGATTGATCGTGCGAGGTGCTATTGATGAATCAGTAAGAGGAAACGTATGAGAGGAAATCCTACGTACAAGTAGTTGTTGTTGGAGTTGATTGAGGAAGAAGGGGAAAGATCGTCGTTGATCGATTGTATGGGAAAACGACGCGTGCGAAGGGTGAAGAAGAAAAGAAAAAGAGGAAAAGAAAAAAACAAGTGAGAAGGGGTTTAAATAGCTAAGGTTGCCGTACGAAGGAAGGAAGGTACGTCAACAGCAGGAGCAGAAGTGAAGTCAACGAGGAAGGAAGGAACTTCACCAACACGTGACTTGCCTGCTCAACCAGGCAAGAAGGAAATGGACAGTTGCCTGGAGTTTTGATATTGGTGATTTATCGTACAACGCAAGTGGCCTAACCCACAGGGTTGTACGATGAGGTTATTGATGTCACAATCAGCGCAACCTGATTGGACACCGCAGGGAGTCGTGCAGTCACAAAAGAAAAGTTGTGAGTGTTGGAATAACAGCACCAGCTGGTTGTACGACACGCACGACTCAGGGACACACATCATGGCAGAGGGCACAGACTGGATATTCGGCCCTCGGTTATCCATTGAGGGGATCAAAAGTATATTCATGCCGAACTGACTCAGGGACGTACGAGATCATATATCTTGTGTACGAAAGCCAAGTCTTGTAGTTAGGAAGATAATCACGGAAAATACATCTTTGGTTCACCCTAACTTTAACCCGAGTACGATCGTACAAACGGGTTCTCTCAGGAAGAGAGAATCCATTCAACAAAAACCTTAATACTAATAAAACTATTACAAAAAAGCTAGTTTTTAAAGATCTTATAATATAAATTAATATTAAGGGCTAGTTTACTAATCTTATAACTAGTAAATAAATAAAAAATAAGTATATAGTAAAAAAAAAGAGGTTTTTTATTTAGACATTTATTACTTATAAGTCAAGTAATATATTTAATAAAGATAATAAAAAGGTCTCTTATAGTAATAAGGTAAAAGAGAACTTTTTAATTACTTACTTAAAGTATAAGTAGGTTTTTTAAAAAAGAGTTAAGATTATTAGATCTATATAAAGAGATATAAGGTATAAACACTAGGAAGAATAGTACTATATTATTAGTTAATAAGGTTATATATAGCTAAAAGATTAACTTTAAGGCAAATAAGAATAAAGAAGATAATAAAAACAATAACAATAACTTAGAGGATATATAAGAAAGTTAATCTTTTTATATACTATTATAGTTATCTATATTATTTCTTAGTACTCTTATATTTTTATAAAACCAGTAATTTAATAAATAATTTTAGTAATAGTATATCTTTATTAGTAATAGTAAGTTACTAAAAAAGAGATTTACTACTACTAAAGCTAATATTTATATTAATAAATTAATATAAAAGCTTAGGAATAAATACTTTAGTAATAAAAAGAAGATATTAAAGTTAAAGCTATAAGAAAAGAAAAAAGAAAAAAGGTAATTATTATAAGAAAAAGCTAAGGTTAATAAAGCAATAGAAGACCTTATAAGGTTTAAAAAAGATCTTAATTATAACGTTTATTTAGTTGTTTTAAACTAATTAATAACAAGGAAGAAAAAACTAGTAGTTTTAAAAGTAAAATATTAAAATTTATTACTAAGTAATAAGTTAAAAAAGGTATATTATATAGAGGTTTATAAGTAGAAAGTTAGGTATTAGTAATAGGATCTTTTATTTGTAGTAATCTTTTATAGTATTCTTAGTACTAGTTTATTTATAGAAATGTCTCTTAAGTAGTATTCTTATTTCCTTCTATAGTATTTCCCTTAACTATTAAACTACAGTTTTCTTTCTAAAGCCTTATTAAACTATAGTTCTCTTCCTAAAGCCTTTTTATAATACTACTTAAGTATAAGCTTTTATATAGTAATTAGGCTAGTTTTTTTTTTTTCCTTTATTTAAACCAGAACTAGAACTAAATAGCTTTTATCTAAGAACTAAAAGGACTTTAAAAAAGGTTAATAATAGTATTAGTCTTTGCTTATTAGCTTTATAGTAAGAAGAATAGACTTAACATAGTCTATATTTTCTTTATAATAATAACTTTCTTAGTATAAATAGTAGTTAACTAAATAGCTAAAAAAATATAAGTTAGTTATTATAGTAATTAATTATAGTAATTATATACCTTTAAATATAGCTATAAGATAAGTCTTAGTAGCCTCCTAGAGTATAAGAATAACTGCTTTCTAAAAGCAAAGGTTATCTTATTAAGAAATATTATATATAATCTCTTTATAAAAACGTTAAAAGGGTACCTTTACTATTAGAAAATTAGTTAACTTCTAATACTTACAGATTTCATAAAGAATAATAGCTAAAAGTAAATTAATATTATAGTAATTACTTATAGTAATTAAGTAAATACTTACTATTAGCCTTCTAGTATCTTTTCTTTAAAGGGGTAACTATAATCTTCTTAGGCGTTTTTTTTAGTAGTCTTCTTAGCTAAGGGTTTTGAAAACTGCGTGGGATAAAGGAAGCCAGCAAGTGGGCAGTTGACACACAAACCACACCAAACACCAAGGTCCCAGTATCGTCACGAGTGCACCTGAGTGACCGATTACCCCAAGTGACTACCCCAACGCCTAGACCGTGAGAATACTACTCTTTTCAGGTCCTCCTTGGCCTGATCAGGGCCATGAGCAAACCAGAAAAGTGTATCCTTCACGTCTTCATTTGCCCTGTTCGTTTGTTTGCTAAGTGGTACGCATGTGTGTGTCGTGATCTCTGGAGGAGGAGGATACCCTCCTAGACCTTAGAGGTCTAGTCAGGCCTAAGGAAACAAAGCAACAGTCACTTATTACACGTCTTGTTTAGATATCAAAGTGATGAATTCGTCCGTGTCTGTCTAAGTGCCTGTCTAAAGATGTCAAGCTTCTCTGTCTGCTTCGTGATGAGATCCCGATCTCTGTGATAGTATCTGACTAGAGCCCCCTTTTGTACTTGGAAGGGTCCTGCTTAGTCACATCTGATCAGGCCTGTGATTGTGTCTGCAGGCTGATAAAAGGAAAAATGAAAACGCGAAACCCTGCCCCTTTCCAATCGTCCCCAGTTTTTTCTTCTTCGCGCAACATATTAAAAGGAGAAAAGTGTAAAAGCATAGGGGCAGACGACATGTAAAAGCAAAAACCAATCCTCCTTATTGTATCCTCCCTGATCAGACCTGTGATGTCCTCCTAGCGGCGGCGGAAAGAGTATCTCGAGCCACTCGCCTCGTTACGAGCTGCCTCCCTCTCAGCCTCGAGACGCTCCTCCTCGAACTTAGCATCCCACTCCCGTCCCTGATCATACCGCTTATGACCCTCCCATCCAGGTGCAATTGTAGGTCGTAGAAACAGCTGCCAAGGGCGCTGTCGCACTGCCACCGTCTCATAAGGGTTCTCGAACATACTAACATATTCGTCCCTGGTGTAGTCGGTAATAGACTTGACCCTGCGCTCCCTTAGCTTGTGGCGCTGCTCCTGTGTATTGAACAGGGCTTTCTCATAAGCATTTCGCTGTCCTTCAGCCTTCATGTACGCAGTAGAAGCCACATTAGACAATCGCTTGAGGTTAAGGGGGCAGCGCGGGAGCGCGGGCTTCGCGGTGGCCTCAGACTCAGCATCGCTAACCTCCTCTTCGTCGTCTACATCCTGAGCCTGATCAGGCTTAGGAGATGGCCTCACCACGTTACCTTCTGGGGCTGGCGTGGTAGAGAAGCCTGGCTGGTCCTGTGGCGCACCAGTATCTGAGGGGGGGCGCATCGAACCAAAGAGACTGGTGAGATCGTCGTCTTGAGGTGCTGAAGAAGGCGTCTTTTTGATGGGCTTAAAAGTCCCAGGAAAGGTGTTAGAGAATTCCGGTGTGTCCTCCTTAGTCTGATCAGGCTTGCTGGATGCTTCTTGTCGAAGTCTCTTGTCATAACTGTCCAGTACAAGCCTCGGCTTATTGCGAAGGTCCTTTCTGCCGTAGTTTCCTGGTTTACTGAACTCTTCAGTAACCCATTGACGCCAGAAATGGTTAACGTGGTCAATGACGTTGCCTCTGCTATCGTTCCAAACCTTCGTCCAAGTCGGACTCTTTGCGATGTTGGTAACGTTGTCTCGGATGCAGCATCTGATGAATTCCGCTGCATGCATTCCGCAAGTCCACTCGTCAGGCTGTTGAGGGCCGATCACAATGCCTGCTTTCATGCGGATCACCTTGATCAGGTTGGGGGCAGCATTGACGCTCTGATAGAACTTGCAGAGACGGTCCATATCAATAGCGTACCGAAGGGTTGCATCTCCGTCTCTCCACATACTGTCATACCAGAAAGATCGTCCAGTAACTTGGTTAACGAAGAGGGCAGTGAAATGATTGATGTGATGGGTAACGAACGCCAGGCAGTCCGCCTTTCGAATCCGGTCCTTCTGATCAGGTCTGGCCGTCACAGTAGGGGTGTCGCGGCTCCAAGGAGGGCTGTCGGCAACAAAGCAATTGACCTTGGCATCTCGAGCAGCAAATGCCGCAAGACTTTGGACATCGTCAGAGGCCATCCAAGACTGCTTAACCAAATGTCCAACCGCGTTGTAGATACCAGGGAGGTAGGTTTTTGACTCGTTGTTTGTCCACTTCCCCCAAGAACCATCTTGCGAAAAGCCCTTGCCCCAGCGATTATACATCATGCTTATGGCAGACGCGTTGTTACTCGGAATCCACATGGGAGCAGGTCCGTCGCCCTGATCAGACGGACCAGGACAGTTGGGAGGTCTCAGCGGAGTAATAGGGTCTTCAGTAGCCGGGTCTGTGAACCCTTCGAGTGGCTTGAGGTCTTCGGGATGCGCGTGCTGTGATTTCTGCGGCATCTTGATGGCGTTCGTGGTTTGCTTAGTCGGATCAGGGAGATTGTCGCTGAGATTCTGAATGCGGCATTCCTCGAAGAGAGTTTGGCAGTGCTCCAAAACCCACATGTTGTTGGTTCCATCTG